TTTTTCAAGACTTTAATTCAACTTAATGATGACCTTATGTTTCTCAAAAAAACTAAGGCTGTTTCACATGTAGACAAAAGAAAAAATAACTTCTTATTTTAGAAAATTTCAAACATATACAAAAGTAAAAGAGTATAATGAACTCCCACTGCACAGCTTATATGAATAAACATTAATGTAATTATTAATATAATTATCAACTCAGAGCCAATCTTCTTCCATCTAAAGCTCCCATGCCTTCCTCACTTATAGCTCAGATTGGATTTTTTTTTTTTTTTTAGATTTTATTTATTTATTTGACAGAGAGAGACAAGCGAGAGAGGGAACACAAGCAGGGGGAGTGGGAGAGGGAGAAGCAGGCTTCCCGCTGAGCAGGGAGCCCGATGTGGGACTCGATCCCAGGACCCTGGGATCAGGACCTGAGCCGAAGGCAGACGCTTAACAACTGAGTCACCCAGGCACCCCCAGATTGGATTATTTTAAGCAAATCCCATGCATCATATTGTTCATCTGTAAATACTTCAGTATGTTTTACTAACACCCAAGAACTCTTTAAAATCACCACAATACTATTATCACATCTAAAAAAGTGAACAATTCCTTAGATTCATCAAATAATCAGTTTGTATTTCAAATTTCCTTGATTCAACAATAGAATTTTAAGATAACAAATCAACAATGAAGCCAACATTAAAACACTGCCAGAGGGGCGCCTGGGTGGCGCGGTCAGTGAAGCATCTGGCTCAGGTTGTGATCTCGGGGTGGTGAGATGGAGCCCCATGTCCAGCTCCATGCTCAGCGTGGAGTCTGCTTGAGAGTCTCTCCCTCTCCCTTTGCCCCTCCCACTCATGCTCTCTCTCTCTCTCAAATAAATAAATCTTAACAAAAAAAAATCGGGGCGCCTGGGGGGCTCAGTCGTTAAGCGTCTGCCTTCGGCTCAGGTCATGATCCCAGGGTCCTGGGATCGAGCCCCGCATCGGGCTCCCTGCTCAGGGGAGAGCCTGCTTCTCCCACTCCCCCTGCTTGTGCTCCCTCTCTTGCTGTGTCTCTCTCTGTCAAATAAATAAATAAAATCTTAAAAAAAAAAAATCACTGCAAGGGGTGCCTGGGTGGCTCAGTCATTAAGTGTCTGCCTTCGGCTCAGGTCATGATCCCAGGACCGTCCTGGGATCGAGCCCAACATTGGGCTCCCTGCTGAGCAGGGAGCATGCTTCTCCCTCTCCCTCTGTCCCTCCCCCTGCTTGTGCTCTTTCTCTCTCTCTCAAAGAAAGAAATAAAATATTTTTAAAAATCATTGCAAGATTAGAGACACATACAGACTGAAAGTGAGGGATGGAAAAACATTTGCCATGTAAATGGAAACGAGAAAAATAAGTCAGGCTAGCAATTCTTACACCGGACAAAATAGACTTTTTTTTTCAAGTTTTATTTATTTATTTGAGAGAGAGAGAGAGCACAAGCAGGGGGAGCGGCAGGCAGAGGGAGAGGGAGAAGCAGGCTCCCCACTGAGCAGGGAGCCTGATGCGGGGCTCAATCCCAGGACCCTGGGATCATGACCTGAGCCGAAGGCAGACGCTTTACCCACTGAGCCACTCAGGTGCCCCTCAGACAAAATAGACTTTAAACAGACTGTGTTGGGGCACCTGGGTGGCTCTGTCAGTTGAGGATCTGACTTTTGGTTTTGGCTCAAGTAATGATCTCAGGGTCCTGGGATTGAGCCCCATGTCCAGCTCTGCAGTCAGCAGGGAATCTGCTAGAGATTCTCTCTCTCCCTCTCCTTCTGCTCTACCAGCGACAGCTGGTAGGAACCCTCCTGAGTAGGAACACTAACTTCAGGTGCTACTCCTTCAGAGGAGAGGGAGTCTATCGAGCAATTTCTGCCCCAGGGCATTATTATAAACCATAGAGCAATCAGAGAGCAATTAATGGAACCGAACAGCTGGATATGGTCAGGGAAAGAGGTGCAGTGAGCCCAGCCCAAGTCGCTGCCAACCTAGGGTGACATACAACCCAAACCACACTTCCCTGCGGGGCAACATCAAAGGTTTAACACTTCATGGGAGTCGGGGGTGGGAGGCTTCACTAAAATAAGCCAGCCAGTCATTAAACAAGCAAATAACATGCCTGAGATGGGGAGTGGGGGTCCAGTATCCAGAGTTGCTACAATATATTATCTAAAGTGTTCAGTTTCCAACAAAAACGTATGAGACAAGCAAAGAAGCAGGAAAGCAGGACTCTGCTCTCACACTGGAAAAAGGCAGCCGCAGGAACTGCCTGTGACTGTGGCCAGATGTTGGATTTAACAGACAAAGACCTGAAGTAGCCATGAGGACACTGTCAAATTCAGATTCAGAGGCAGATGCAGCAGCATTAGAATGGAAAACGTCTGCTCTCTCGGGAATGACGAAGGCCCCTGGTGGCATCAACGGGGTGGGGGGTGACAGTTTCAGGGGTGCAGTAGGTAGCCATAGAGACAGCATGGACTTGCCCCAGCCAGAGTGGAGCAGGAGGGTGGCTGGAGCTGACCAAGGACCGGGAAATGGCAGGTGTAGAGAGCTCGGCTGAAGCTGAACGCGTCGTGGCACCATTCTACTCTGGAAGGAGGTACTCCCAGCCCCTGTCAGCCAGGCCAGGGTGCAGGCAGCAGGGTGGAGGGCACGCTGCACAGGCAGATCTCAGAGCATGAATCCAGGTGAGGGTTTTGCTGGGCAGAAAGCCAGGAACACAGGGGAATCGGGGTTATGATGAGAGAGTAGCTCAGATGATGACCCCCAGGGGTCATAATCTTTCCTGCCTGGACAGGAAAGAAAGCTTCAGGGCTGACGTGCTGGGAGGCACACAGGGGCAGAGAGATGGAAGCTGGGTGAGGTTGTAGGTGAGGAATAAGAACACTGGGTGGACAGGGCACCTGGGTGGCTCAGATGGTTAAGCGTCTGCCTTCGGCTCAGGTCATGATCTCAGGGTCCTGGGATCGAGCCCCGCATCGGGTTCCCTGCTCAGTGCAGAGCCTGCTTCTCCCTCTGCCTCTGCCATTCCCTCTGCTTGTGCTCTTCTATCTCTCTGTCAAATAAATAAATAAATAAAATCTTTAATAATAATAATTATTATTAAAATAAAATTATTAAAATAAAATAATAAATAAAATCTTTAAAAAAAAAAGAACACTGGGTGGACAGATGGGAGGCCTTGGTCTGAGGTATTAAAGGCATAGGAGGTAGCCTGGAGTCATTAACACAGGAGGTGGGGGGCCAACTCCCACACAGGAGGAGAACTCCCCCCCCCACACACACACACCTTAAGGCTGGAGTCCAGACAGGTGGAGGCTGGGCTGTGGTGGGAGTCAAGTTTATAGGTTTAATGATGGAAAGTTGAAGAAATGAATAGTTGGCATTGAATGACACTTTAGACCAGACGGACCTAACAGATATATACAGAATATTCCATCCAGAAACAGTGGAATACACATTCTTTTCAAGTGCACATGGAACATTCTCCAGGATAGATCACACATTAGGCCACAAAACAAGTCTCAGTAAATTTGAAAAGACTGAAAGAAGAAGGAGGAGGAGGAGGAGGAAGAGGAGGAGGAGGAGAAATTAATAGTGATTCCCTTTTTCTCTATGAAGTAGGAGAGACATTTGGTGAGAGCAAGGGTGGGCGAGGGATTCACAGGCTCAGAGAGAGGGTCTGACGTTTTATTAACCACTGAAGAAAGGGGATAAGGTGCTGATCAAGGGATAAGTGACATCTACAGGGATTTTGAGGACTAAAACCCACAAAGGTGGAAATGAAAGACTTGAAGCCATTGATTCTGAGTAGTGCCCCCCAAGAGGGTAGCAAGGTGCAGCTCACCCTGAGGGCAGTCTTGGAGTGAAGGGAAGAACCGTCCCATTGTGAGTGCCCTCCTGTGACCCCCCCTGATTTGGCCCACATAGGAGGAGGTGAGCCTGAATGACCCATTCCTGCCCAGAGGCGCAGGCCCCAGCTTCTCGGGAAGTCTTGCAGTGGGACAGATACCTGTTGCTGCACCCAGACTTGCTCGCATACGTGAAGGACAGGTGAGGGCAGAACATTCCTGGAAGGGATGGGGTCCCTTTCATCCTTGAAGTTCCTGACAGCTGGGGGCTGCGGTATTTCACAAGCTTTGGAGGTCTAAGACCCTGGATTGCCTGCTGGAGAATATACCGACCCACCTACTGCTCACTCCTGCGGAGGGCTCTGTTTCGGGGCGGGGGGGGCGGGGAGCGGTGCAAAGCTGCCCTGCCCTTCTAGGTGACGCCCTACCTGGTGACACCAGAGACCCTGGCGGCCCAGGACAGTCACCAAACGAGGGGAGGAATGGTCTCAGCTCCCCCCATCCATTCCACCCCGGCAGGAGTCCTACCTACCCCGCCCCTTCCACCTCCAACCCAGGGTCGGCTCCTCCATCCTCCCCGCCCCGCCTCAGCGGTCCTCGAGAACGGGCCCCTCATTTCTCCCGCACTTCTGGAAGGAGCCGAGGTGCCGGGGCCAGACCGACAGGTCCTGAGGGTCCTTCCGAGGGGAGCCTCCCTGCCGCGGCTTTCCCGGCGTCAGGCGTGCGGAAGCGGCGGGTGCGGGCCGGGAGCCAGCAGGGCGCGGCCCACCCGGCAGGTGGCGGCGTCTCCCGGCGCCCCG